TTTTTTGTTTTCTATGCATTACATAAGAAATGTCCAAAAGAAGAGTTAGACTAACCTTATTTTGTTTATCATTCATATATCAAAATTCAGAGACAAGTACAAGATATCACACAGAAACTGCCTCACTCTGAGGATGAAGAAAACTTAGAAGAACCTCCCATTTTACACAGATCTGCCAACAAGACCCATACCAGAAATAAACGAAATATCCGAAATGGTAAGCGAAGTATTTCTGACCCCAGAAAACTATTCCATTTCGTTTGTGAAGTATTCTGAAAAATCAATGAAGTCTGATCAAAATTTTATCTAATTATAAAATCTGTTCTTAATGCACACTGTAGGTCCATTACCCAGTGGCATTGCTAGTGGTGCCACCTATACAAGATGGGGAAGAAAGACATGTCCACCAGGAGCAGAGTTAGTGTATGACGGTACAAACAACTCAAATTCTTTATCAGTCAAAATGTCACTGAATTACTAAAAAAATCTATTATAAACTGACACTTACACCATATAATCCTAAACAGATGGCATTATGATAATCATTTGAAGATCAGCTAGGGGTTGTGATTAATATATTAATTATGATTATTTTATTTTTTAAGGCAATGTTTAGACTTTAGTTTTCCTCTTTTATACATGTTGTTTTCACAAGTTTTCTCAAGTATTCCGAGGAACTTTGGTTTAAATTGTAGAAATATATGATGTAAAAACTGATTGTCATCCTTGATTTTTTTCTTAGGTGTGATCGGTGGATCTCTTTATACTCACAACGGTGGAGGTAGTGATCTGCAGTGTCTTCCCCACACCCCACAGTGGGGAACTTATAAAGATGGCTTTCAGTCAAGTGCCTTCATGTATGGAGCAGAACTGGAGATTCAAGCCAATGACCCATTCAATAAAGTCAACACTGGGAGGATCAGAACTCTTCAGGATGAGACCCCAGTATGTGCTGTGTGCCGGTCCATTAATCGGTCCAGTCAAGTCATGATCCCAGCGAGAAGAGAATGTCCAGAAAGCTGGACTCAGGAGTATAATGGCTACCTTATGTCGTCACATCATGGACACAAAAGATCTCAATTTGTGTGCATCGATGGGGCACCTGAGGTAAACGAGGGTGGAACTGGGAACCAAAATGGTGCCCTGCTGTACGTGGTTGAAGCAAAGTGTGGCTCCCTCCCATGTCCAAGTTATGTGGATGGCAGAGAACTGACTTGTGTTGTTTGTTCAAAGTAAATTGCGTAGATGTGATTGTGTAATTGTGGTAGATGTGATTGTGCTGAGTTGTCTATTATAAAGCACATTTGTCTTGTTCCAGGCACTGCATGTAGTTTCGCAAAATTTAAAAATAGTTTTATTTTGATTGTAATTTTAGGTCCATACTTTTTACCTACTTTGAGCTAAGATAAATCAGTTGTATTCCATGTCAATGAGAATAATATACCAGTTCACAAAATGAGAGAAATACCTTATGCTTTATCTATGTTTTTTCATCATTTTAGGTACTTTACTTGATTGAAATAGAACAAATTTTAGAGCTTTAAAACCAATATTTTACTTAATATTTGTTAAACCAGTTCCAGCAACATGGCTGGTCAAGATGTAATTGGTACTTTGTGCTGTAGGTAAAGAAAATTGTTGTTTGAGTTAAGTCTGTAGATATGGATCTAAAGACTGATATAGCACTGCATGCTGCTTAATCAAATTTATGTATTACAATGTATATTATACCCTTCTGTGTTACATGTACACAAAAAAATCAAACAAATGAACATTCTACATGGCCCTCTAATTACAACTGGAAGAAAAATATATTAAGCATACATTTTGGTCACATTCACCTTATTTTACCAGAAGATTGCCTTACTTCTCTTAAAATAAATTCCAGGGGTCAGACCATTCTTCAAGTTCTAATTTTTCAGCATGTTATGATTTTTTTGTTCAAAGTTCAAAGAGAAATTTAGGTGCTTGAATAAAGAAATTATTAAATGAAAAGACTTGTTTTTTTTTAACCATAAAACAATATATATTATGAGAGACATTTTTGGTCACCCTGAAAAATGAAACAAACTCAAAACACCTTAAAGCTTTATATGTATTTTCTCTTTTTATGTACCTAAAGTTGTTAGTTAAAACCCAGTCAGTTTATGATGAATGATGCATATAAATACTAATAATACAGACATGACTTGAGGATCAACTTCCATTAGTTAAGTCCTAGCTTATGCTTATATAATAGTTTCTGACTGATTTTAGCTCTTCACAAACATGAAAACTTACCAGCTGCCTCATCCAACACACCAACTGACTGGAAGAAAAGATCAATATTATTCAACTATAATATATCTCACAAATGAGAACAGAAAAAAGAGAAAGCCAAGACCCTAAAATATATGAAGTTAATCACTTCGGATATTTTGAAATGTGGGAACCAGTTATTACTTACACATTTATGAATTTTTGAACAATTTTACAATGATTCAAACATATCTTAGTGAACAGAAGCAAAAACAATAAATTTACCTAAATAAGTTAAAAAGGTATAGCATACTACTTACTGCAGCATCACATGAAATGAAAACAACTGCAAGAAGAACTGCAAGGCACTCCATGCTTTGTGTCACCATCTTAGACCTGCTTCACAGTGATCCCAAGAAGAAAGCCAGAGGTTTAGATACCTGACCATGAGTTACCTCACATATCCTTATGTCATAATCACATATTGAGTGGGTTGGTCTTAATTGGGAAGGAAACAGGTGGGAAACAGTCCGTGCTTACATGATTTGGTTTGGCCACATAACTAGTAATTCTGCAAAGCAATATTACACAGCGATGCGAAATTTAAAAGTATCCAGTCAGTTTTTGGTTTTCTTTTTCCAAAAGAATCTTGCACACAATATTGAACCACCTACCTTCCAGTTTTGAGAAAGATTGCATTGTGGTGGTATTCCTTATATTTTGAGCAAGCACTGGAAAGATTTTAATCCATTCCCCTTTTTTATACCCATGATTCTCTCTAGTGCCCCCTAAGCTCTTGTCAAACCACCCTAATGTAATGTCTTACATAAGTTCCTAAAGGTGGGCCAATTACAGTTTAAATTTCTTTGTCACCTAGTGTGACATTTGCGAAAGTTCTCATATAACCCCCTACATTTCCTGGGGGCTTGGTTACAAAGAGAAGGGAGGATTAAAAGATTCACTTTTAGGGATGAACATTTTTAATGAATAGGTAATGTAAAGAAAAAACAATAACAGTCTATGTATGGAAAAAAATGTTAACTTTTTTAGACATAAAAATCCATTTAAATAAAAAAAAAGTTACATAAATTAGGAAAAACATTTTCATCAAATGTCAATAGTACCCATTAACGTATTAAAGAATAAAAAGACAGTGTCCCTAAAGTAGCTACTGTTTTCAGTAACAATAGAAAATTCCAAATGACATCCAAAAATAATCCTGTTTTTTGTCTGCTTATCAACCATATCCGTCAGACTATAAAGTAATAATTGAATTTTCAAAAAAAAAAAAAAAAAAAAAAAGAAAAAAAAAGATTATATCAATATAAACATGATACAGATAGTCAGACTATATGCTTTACTTGTCTACAACAGTATGTTTTAAAATAAACAGAGGCAAGGGTGCCTTCCAAATATATATCAACAAACCTCCATTGACTACATAAATGAAAAATGAAATTGCACTTGTAAATATCCTTTGATCATAAATTGCCACACCAAAATGAAATCGTCATACATACATTAATTCTGATGTGAATAGCTCCTCAAAAAGACAGGCTCAAATAATGTTGGAATTGCATACGGTTTTCTCCCAAGAATCAGAAGTAAAAACATTCAGAGTTAGTATTTCAAAGTGCTATATACCGTGACTAACTTTTTACCAAAATCTTATTCAAACACCATCAGACTTCACTCTTTTATGTGCTGATCCCCACACAACCTTTCTCAAAACATTTTTGAATGTCAAAAAACCAACAGCAAGATTTACACACTGCCACTTTAAAAGTTACTTCATTCTGTAACCTCACTTTATTAACTGAGTATATTAAGCCTATTAATCCCAACAATATGCCCATGGTTTACACATAAAGAAACCACAGGATTGGCAGACCTCTTTGGGTTTTAGTTTTTAGCACATGCCCAGTAAGAAATCCCAAAATTGAATCATTTCAATCTTGACCAACTTGTTAATTACACATTGTCGAGGTGTATATTCATATGTTTAAGAATCTGACATGTTTTATCAGTATTTCAATTGTAACTATACTACTTTAAAACTTAAAAAATCCACTTTTGGAAGTAATAAATTAATGAAGAATTTCAGATACTGAAAATACTATTTCAATGAAATAACTGACCTGTTAAAACATTTTATTACACAAGTTAATATATCATACCAATACTGAAGCATTTCATGTAATATAATATAATATAATGAGGCAACCATCCAAGAAGTGAATCAAATGTTAATGTATTAAATGTTTGTCACGTTTTTGATCCTCTGGCAATAAAAACTTCTTCCACCTTTTCCACAATACTGCTCACCTCTGCCATTGCACCTAGGCCTAAAAATAAAAAAGGAAAGCAACCTCAAATATCCTTCCAATCAATCAAACCTCTCAAATTACCAGAATTCAGAAGAACAATCTTAGACAATCTTTCAAGTATGCTGTTGAGATATCTGATATACATTTTACTGATGATGTGCTTCTCCATTGTACCGATTACATTTCATTTACACATTGTACACACACACACACACACACACACACACGCACACGCACACACACACACACACACACACACACATTGCAAAGCATCATTCACAATCTATATCATAAATATCACCTAATAATAAAATACTTACCACTATCCCCACATATTAACTGCTTTGATATGCAGGGTATCACTNGAACCCGAACAGAATCTCGTTAATCATACCTTTATCTATTTTCCATGCCATGTTAAAAAATCATGTCATTATCATTAATATTCTTCTCCTTATCATCATCCTTTCTGAATTTCACCTTTTCTTTTCTTTTTCTTTTCTTCTTTCTTTTCCTTTCCTTTTCCTGGTGTTATTAGACCAAAATCTTTCATAATTTGTATTTGGTCTGTGTCTTTTTCTCTGCTCTCTAACTCTTTATTTGTAATTTCCTGCTTTGTATCTCTTATAGTTTTTTCAAGTAAGGAGGCTCTTAGTTAGCCTGTGATTTGTCAGGCATTGTTCTGCTTTGCTTTGGTTACTTTAACTTGACCAAAGACTAGCAAGGGGCAAATAAATTCATTCTTTCTATAATCATATCAGTATAATAGAATCAATATAATAAATGGATTTCTAAACAATTAACCACACTACAGCTGGTTGGCCACAAGTGTGATTTTTTCATCTATTTTTACATTTGACAATTTTTGAGAAAGGGTAATAATTTATATGGGTAATTTAGGTTTCAGTTTGGTTTAAAGGTGATATTTAATAAAATTTCTACCCAAATAATGTAAAAGTCAAATGTAGTTTTTGTAATAAAAACCATTGGCTTTGTAGTTTCACCAGCTGGCATGTTAATTGTCTCCAAAATAAATAAAGAAAATGCATAAGTACAGTATTTCCAGTTTGGAATTAAATAATTTTTGGTCATAGCATTGTATAACATAAAGGGGTAGACTTCAATTTAAAATTATTTGAGATCTGCCTCAGAGGTTCTGTTTCTGTAAATTTTAGACTGGCCATTACAAAAGATGTGTGCTCTTTGGAAAGAATTATTTGGCCTAGGGGGTATATGTAAGCATAGCAGCATTACTCCTAAAATATGGGCTAAATTTCCTGATGTACCATCTCATCTTTACCTTAAGTGGAAAACAGTTAGTAGATGAAGGTAAATGTACCAGTGACATAACCTAAAGAGATCCTACTGTCTTTTCCACATATTTGGCCAGGCCATTCCCAAACAGTGACAACCATGTGATAGGATTCAGATATTTGATGAGACTTCTCTCGCATCTGATCAATGCGTTTGACTCTGATTCAATTATTCTGATCCAACCCGAACTATACCAACTAGCATAACCAGTTGTTCCTGTTGGGGTATGTGAATACATGTCCTCTATCTCAGGGGAATTAACTTGGTGCTAATATTACCCTGATTGTGAAGGTTACACGCCAAAAATATGGGTATAAGTCTCATGCATTTGGGAGTCTGTCCCATGGATTGTGTATACCAAATTACCCGATTCATTCCCATTCCCAATGGTCAATATGATTCAAATAAAGTTAGCTCAATTAGATGTTGAAAACTCAAAACTCAAAACATTTAGTGACATAATTAAAACAACTCATGTGTCACACACCAGCCTATTTTATTTAAACAATAATTAAAACAATCATTGAAAAGTAGCCCATTTTATTCAAACAATAATTAAAATAAAAATAATAACAACAACAAAATAGTACAAGGGCTCACAGGTTGGTGCAGTAAAAGTCAACATCTAATTGGGATTTGGCTTTATTTTTGATCAGAAAATGTGACAGTAGTGCGTGATGGTGTTATTATCATCATGTACTATCTAATTATGTGATGGTGAATGACATTTCCTCTTCCCCTTATGGAAGATTGCCTAAATACATTAGCAGGAAAACTTGAGTTTCTAAAATTGACGGCAATTCTGTTTTTAGACAGTAGAGGTCAATAGGAAACCAGTTAATAACTGCTTTTGTGGCAAAACAAGGACTAGAAAAGGGGTTAAGGGCTCACTAATACCCCGCTATCTCTAGATTTGTAAGTCTGTTACAGAGGGGTTCCATATGGAAGACAGAATTTGCATTTCTAGATGATATTCTGGTCAAAGGAAAGTCTTATTTCACTTATCATGTCACTAATCTGAAGGAGGTTTTAGAGAGATTACAATACACAATAATAATTATTTATAAAATTTATTTCTTCCAGTACAGTATCAAGGTTCAAGTTTTGCAGTAAATGTTTAGGTTCTCATTTGTAAATTTATATATTTGTGTGTTTGTGCATATTAAAAATATATTGCACATCAAAATATTTAAGAAATGTAGACTTAAAATAGTTTGGATTTAAAGCTGAAGTTTATCAGTAAACAAATCATTTAAAATTTAAAAGCAGCAAAATAACTTTCTATTAAAAAAATTTTTGTTTTTGGGGAGGAAATCCCTTATCTTATTTTTTTATAAAATCTCTCAACCTCTATACACATCATTTGACCGGGAAGTAACTTTTTATCTGAGACTTGGACTGTGAGGGTGCAATTGTCATATTGAAAGGGTTTTGGCTGAACCATCAGAGTTGGCCATACCTGTCAATTGGTACAGTATCAACCCCCAAGAACTACTGAACATAGTGAGGTTTACTCACCAATCTAAATGCTACCTGTTTGGGGAGAGTAGACTTACAATCAGAAAAGATTGCTAACATCTGAATTCTGGTAGTTCTGGTGAGGAATACTTCATTTGGTAGTTCTAACAGTTCAATGCCTCAGAGGGAGAATCACCAAAATAAGTTAGCATTTTCCAAATTTTGCTCAGTTTCATTTACAATTTGGATGAATACCTGCATAAAAAAAAATGTATGTATGTATATATGTATATATTTGTGTATATGTAATGTATATATTTTATTTATATGTTTATTGCACAATTGCACTTTTCCTTTGCATAAATCAAAATCTGGGTATTCTCCAAATTGGATGAATTAGGTATAAGTCCTGATACAGGGGATCTAGTCCAGTATGCCCATGGAGAGGTTCCCTTGACTGAGAATTGGTAAGAAATGCAAGTTAACTGTGGTGAATAAATGAAAAATGCCATTTATTTTCATTTATTCAGCCAAAGGTGATGATCTGAAATTTGGTTGATACTCTGCTTGGAGATTGTAGTTAAATTCTAAATTGACTCTCTCCAAAAACATACAGAGTTAAACCAGAGACCATTTTATTAAATATCCCCAAAGACTATGGCTTTAAAATTAATGGGCTGGTCCCATTAGTTTAAACATTTAATAGGCTGGTCCTATTGTTTTTAAAAGGAATTCGGGGATATTGTTTTAAAAGGAATTTGGGGAATCTTTTTATAACAATCTTTTAAATTAGAATTTTTATTAGTTAATCATTTCAAGGCTGGTCCTTCAATTTTAAAACGAATGTATTCCCTTTTTTAGAAAATAGGCAAAATTGGGATGGTCCCTTTTTTAAAAAAAATTATTATAAAATGGGGGGGAATGTTGTGATTGTGAACCAGTAAGTTACGGTTGTGGGCTGTCTTGAAGAAGCGCCATCCAGGTGTCGACACACGCTGAAGAAGCGCGTGATATGAATTGACTGGCACTCGACTACGAGACACCGGACAGAACACACCTTGGGCGTCAAATCCACAATCTGCGAGTATTCCTTGACCAATACCATACCTACTTAATTATACCACTATAGCTGACATTCAGCAATAGTGCCATAGTGGATATTGATCATGGAGCGGTTGTGAGGACGTACCAGGATTCCTATAAGTGGAATATAAGGTAAGCGGTCTACGCCCCTGATCAGGGCGTGACAGCCGCCTTTATGTGTATCACTGCTAGTTAGACTGTAGTTATCACAAGAATAAGTGACTTTAGCCACTCGGGTTCACTTCAATATATTTTGGTGTCAATAAATAAAGATGATGATATGTTTTAAAATGAAATTACACTGCATTATAGTAGTAATACAAACTCTGATTAATGCAGTACTTTGACATGCATGACTATAGTTTAAGAACCATTTTGAAATTGTTCAAATTGTTAGATGTCACAAAAAATTGAAATTTACTTTTTATCTTATGACTTACAAGTAAATTGTCACATATCCCATTAGCCATCTTGGCTAATGTATTGGCATCAAGTGGAGCTACAACTAGAATATCAGCCCATCGTCGAAGCTCAATATGAAGAACAGGGTCACCACGTTTCTGCCACTGTAACAGAGACACATTGTGGTCCTTAACATACTGAATATAATTTTTAAAGTAAATATTTGCTTACAAAGTCATATCCTTCTGCATGTGCAACATTTTGAGTAATTGATGTACAGTTTCTTCAGGCTATCACATTTTTATTAAAGCGTGTGTGTCAAAAAATGTTTCTAAATAACATATGGCATCAGAGATGTGGTTTTAACTCACCCTCCATTCATCAGCATCCCTATGAACTTTGACATCAACTTCATTTGGATTAAAAAAGTGACAGGCATGGTCAGTGGCAACAACCTCCACACTGACTTCACAGGTCTGAAGTAAATTATCAAAACTCCACTGCATGTTTCTGAATGGATCGGACTTTTTAGTTATTACTGTTAATGTAAATTCTTTCTTTTACCCAAATATAATAGCTGGTGATTTTTCTCTTTAACTTGTGATTTTTGCAAGATATTTTACTGATACAGTGGTAGAGATGTACATTGTAGAACGTGAATAACGTCACTTATTACTCCCCAAGTTTTGGTTGCAATTTTACTCGACTTAGACACACACCATAATACTGAGATACAAACCTTCATGTCTACGTTAGCTTGCAACGATTTAAGGCCTGTTACAAGTTTAGGTATCTTGATAGAGGCCACGCTTCCAGTGCAACCAACCAAAATGTGCAAGGGATTCCCGCGGTCCATTTCACAAAATTATAGGCCATCCCAGGTCATCAAGGTCGAGGGAATTCCCATTGGAAATGAGGCTCATAGTCTCAAACTGAGATATGATAAAAAAAAAAAAACTTTAGTGGATCTTTTAGACAGTTAAAAAGCTGCTAAGAATGAGTGCTTTTGCTATTTAATTGCATCAAAAATTTCATTTTGTTATCTATCCTACTTCACTTTTCACAAAAATTACTAAATTAGCTTGCCGCTATCGAGAGTACATCACATGTGCCAGCATGGCGGACGATGCAGAGGACGAAGCCGCTTCAAGAGAAGAAAATGTGCTTTACGACTTAACAATCAATGCAGAATGGCCACAAGAACCTGAAACAATAGTATGTGTGGTTTTCTAAGTTATATTTACTACTTTAATGGTTTCTTTCGACCTGCCACTTAGTTTGGAGGTATGTTGTTTGGACATCTGCCTGTGTAATTTACAAATTCAATTTACATTACATTTGTTTTTGGTTTCCCCGTGTTTAGAGGTACACTGCTCATGCATTTTGTTGGAAATGAATGTGCAACATAAATCGCAAAACGTATGCACACTTTTCAAAGTTAAATCACCAGCTGTTAGATACTCAAAGAATGAATTCAGCATAATCAACGGTGGGTACTTCTTCAGTATTCGCACTCCCCACTTCGCCCAGTAAGGAATTGATTTGTTTCAGAGACGTTAATAAAAGTAACCATATGGCTTGAATTTTGGAAAACGTTAAAAATTAAAAATTTATAGGGGGATACTGCAGAAGTGCTAGAGAGGGTTAGCGTGATGTCTTACAAATATTTTGTACAATCATGTATAATATATGATATTGCAATTTACTCCACACATTTGTTGATAGAACTATTCTTCTTCTTCTTCTTATTATGTTTTATTTTAGAGCAGAAATGTTAAGGACAAGTCTCAAGTTTCTTTCCCCAGGAGACTTGCGTCAGCAGCTCAAAGTGAGTATTTTACACAAAATTCTGCAGTCTAGTATGTAAATTCCCTTAGAACTACACCATCTTTTTTTACTTCACTATACTAATAATTAAGGTCAAATATTTAATGACAAAAAAGGAGTGCAGCTTGTCATTATATGTTGAATTCATTTTGTTAGGAACAGCTTGGACATTTCTCAGAACAGTAGGGATTCCAACCAGGTAAGTCTACTTGTGTACCATTATATTTTTCTTTCACTAAAGTATGATTAGTATTCATGCCAAAATCAGTTAAATACATCAATCCACACATTTTTCTGTTTACTGGTAAAGTCTGCTTATTTTGTTTTCTAATATTTAAAAGGAAGGGAGATACAATTGCTTAATTACTTATTTATTGGTTAATTAGTATGTATATTTATTATTTCAGGTCTTCTAGCCCTTGTTCACTTCCAGTTGGCTTGGTAAAGCTGATCAACAGAAAGCTTCAATGGCAAATAGCAGTATCCAGGTAATATTTCATATTTCTGTTTTTTTTTTTGTGTGTATATATATGTGTGTGTGTGATGTGCTTATGATAAATCTCATTAACATGTTTGTCATATTACTTTTATTCCAAATTGTCATATTACTTTAATTGCTTTAAAGAGGTTCTATGTAGTTTTCTCTTTTTTTAATTTTAGTGATGGCCAACAAATCGCAGTGTTGCAGGATACACTTATAGAAATAAGGTAATCTTTAGTTTTATTTTCTGTCTTATCTCTTGTTAAAAGATGATGTTGCAGTGATTACCTTGAAAATTTGAAAAAAAAATAGAATTAGGTCTTTGAAAAAATATACAAAGTTTTTGAAATGTATTAAAAATTTACTGCAAATTGTCAATGCAGAACTGCCAGGGATGCCTTCGACTCTGTGCTTGCACGTTGTTCCATATCCAAGGACCCTCATGTTCAGTGGCGCCGCCTGTGCTGGAGTACTGATGGCACCATGCTGGCTTATGCTGACAGTCTCGGGAATTTGCATTTATTTGATGAAATGGGTGCAGAGTTGATCTACATTCCATGTGTAAGTTTTTTTACAGTGAGAGTGATTTTGTCAATTATTGTTTACGGTGTCAATGTCCAACTGTGCCTTCTCCATTTATTTGAGAATTTTTAAAAATTCTTTTGAACTCTGTATTATTCTGTTTTAAGGAGCCATTACATACATAATGAGGTGGCTTAAAAAAAAACTGTGATATCTTACTTTGACTGATATAAGTTTGTTTTAAAATTGGACTTATTTTGAGTATAAGAGAAAATTATGTATTCATACTTAAGGTATTTTTTTTTAGAAACTGCCAGTGAATCCTAAGCTACCAGTAGATTTGAGTAGGGCGGTTGCAGCATTAATCTTCACAGATTATGTTCCTACTTCAGAATGGTTTGTACACCTTAAACCTCTGATATAGAATAAGTTGTACTGGGTAAATTATATATGTAAACAGTACAAGAATGTTGAAAATAATTATATATGACATCAGCACAAGCTAAAAGCAGTTATTTACCGGCCGAAAGTGTTAAATTAGGTAAATAAACCTCTTTATCAGAGGATTTGTGATTGGAAAAACAATTTCAGTTTACATTTTTAATCTTTTTGTTCAGGACAGCCCAGTTGATTGTTGTTAATTATCAAGGCAGTCTAAGGAGCTTATTAGTGAAGTAGGTAGCATTTGACATTAAATAAAAGATTTCTGTAATCTGAAAACATTTGGAAATTGTATTTAAACAAGACAGTTTCAATACAAACATGATATTTTTGTACCAAATAAAAGTTACTTACTTGTACTTTATAATATATCTTAAAAACCTAATGAATATATATTCTAGAGTGAGCTCAGTTTTTTCATTTTGTTTTAATACATGATTGTAAAAGCTTTTTACATAATGTTTAAAATTAACACATATTTCATGTGCTGTTCCAGCAGTGACAGCAGTAAGTACAAGGAAGACCACACATTCAGCTTCAGCCATTATTACCCACGAGGTGTGGGAACTGTGGTCTATGACTCCTCTCACAAACTCCTGGTAGTTGGGGGCTGCTGCACTATGGATGAGGACAACCCCAGTTTGGCTGAGCAGCAAGGCATCACCAGGTGGCGCATTCTGTCAGGAGCACCTTACTATAAGTTGGTCACAGACTATGAACAAGATATAGCTATGGTATGTTTAAAAAATGAAAATGGTGCATAGTGTTAATGAACTAAGGTTTATATATATATATATATATATATATATATATATATATATATATATATATATATATATATATATATATATATATATTTTTTTTTTTTTGAAAATGAAAATGATCTGTAGTAGAAATGTCATTTCTTTGATTTTTATTTATTTTATCATCAGATGTTGTTCCTCAAATTTTTTTTCAGTTATGGTGCTTAATATTTTGTATTTTTTCCATTTCAGGCACAAAAGAAAAGAAAGTTTTTCAAGAAGCTGAAAAGTTTTCAGTTTTATGGATGGTATGGTGATATTCAGGTAAGTATATTGTAAAGATCCCTGCTGTATGGCTGCGTGTGTATTTTGACATTGAATTTCTAGAATTACCTTCATACTGCCCAGATGAGTAACCAGGCTGTGTTTAAAAGAACTGATGAACTCCGACCATTTTTGTTGTATGAAGTAACAATGTTGACCAATGGCTATTTTTCTACCGTGACTAGCTAATTTTATGCTGAATTCTACCCTTCATGTTTTGACTACACATTTAATTCTTTTAAATAGATCGTTTTTGACAGTGAATAAACCTGTAAGATGTTTATGTAAAATGAAAAAGTAGACCCAATAACCAGATCTTACGTAATGAGATGGAATTTAAAACTAATACATAACAAAAAGTTTTTTATAAACTGATTTTTATGCTTCATTTCCAGTAGTTTTAAAAGATGTCTCCTGTTTGTTTATAGGACAGTGTGTACAAGATGTGCTTGTCTCCAGATACTCAGCTTCTGGTCACTATACACCATTCTGGGCTCTTGTCACTCTGGGAATACCCATCTCTGAAGCTTAGGAGAATGTGGCCCCTGGCAGAACAGGTAAAAGCATGAGTTTAAACACCTTTACAGCAAATGCACTGTACTATAATGATATTGACGTGTCTTCAGAAATGTTAAATTGAAACGAACAGTTCTCATGCTAGTTACAGGTATCTGAATTATTATGATACATAAGATCTGACAATCACCACTGTACATTCCAGCCTGGGAACGAAGAAAAGAATCCAATAATTGTGGAGAATTTGAGATTCAAGAGAGTTTCTAAAGGTAATGTTTAGATAGCTTTTTATTTATTAAAGCCTGATAAAGCACAGAGATCTTTGCAGTGAATTTTGAAGTGTACTCTCCCTTACGCAAAATTAGAGTACTTGTTAACTTTGTTTCTTATTTCAACAGATTCCACAGAACAGCCTAACTTGTTGGATGTGAACTGGTGGAGTAAGGAAGCATTGATTCTTGCCCGCTGTAGTGGGGCTGTGACAGTGTCGTCTGCTAACACACTGAGGAATCTGCTGGGGACATCTCCAGAATGGCTGGAGCCGTCACCTCAGGTGTCCAAGGCACATGATGGGGGATTCTTGGGACTAGAGGTGAGCTTGGCTAACATGTTGAGTTTCTTGCCTTAAAAGACAAAAATTGAGGGTGGGTGGGAGGAGGAGGGGGGGGGCACAAGAATGTTAGCTTATTAAGACTGGTTTGGAAACTAATGCCTTCCAGGCAATAAGTTCATTATTATTTAACACAATCAGTGTTTGTAACTAGACATATTGATGACAAGTAGATAAAAGAATATCCAATTTACAAATAACAAAATATGTCAGAAAGATGTAGGTCTCCCTTTTCATCTTAGTGTTGTTTTTTTTTTAGTGTGAGTGTAGGTACCAGTCACTGAAGCGCCGCCTGGTGGATGATGTGGCAGAAGTAGATGATGAGTATGAAGACAGTGAAGATGAGGAGGATGCTACCATCATGACTAGAACTAAGAAGCTCATAAAGGGAACACTGTATTATGTCACAGACAATGAGAGGTTTCAACCACCTAAGAAAAGACCCAAGTAAGATGCAGCATCATGTTTTATGCTATCACATTCCAAAGTTAACACAGTTAGACAAATCCTGACACAAGCACTCTAATGCACAATGCCCCAAGACCTGGCTTGGAATATCATAACAGACATGTATTTGAGAATTGTGACTAATTTGGATATAGGCTGTTTTCTTTTATGAACTGAGAATGATTTAGTACTCCAAAAAAAAGTGTGTGGTAAATGTAATACTTATACTTAAGTCTCAGCACTGACATTTTTTCAGCTGCAGGTGTGCTTTGTATATTTGTTAGTTTTTGTCAGTGTTGTTTATAAATTCTGCTTTTCTTTGCAGAATCCTGTCAAGAACATACAGACTGGTGTGTTTGAAGTCCACCACACCAGAAGAGCTGTACTCAAGAAAGGTAGAGTATTGGTAAACTTTATATAACAAAATTAGATTCATCTACCTATTACATGTTATACATGTCAATTATGGTTGATTGAATTAAAACGCTGTTGAAGGACTTGTAACTATGGGTGTAAAAACATTACTTTCAGCACAGTGTTTTATTGAATACAAAACTAAACCAGTCACCTTTGTTTTTGATGAAGTCACTCCTATGTAGAGAATAATGGCTGGGTAAAGCCAGTAATAAGGTGCTCTCATTAAAATGTAGCCAAGGGCTATTTCATTCCAAGAGCACAGGTAGGCAATTACCTTGTGAACATGTGACCTCTCCTCTCACATACGCTGTTCATAGTCATTCACTCACCGCTCCTCATAGGAGCTAGACAGGACTTTTATATCTGAGGTAAATTTGACTTTATTTCTTTCAGTTTGTTTATATGTTTATATCACATTTGACATTATTTGTTAGTTCTGCATTCTATATAAAAAATCTTCTGTTTAATCTGTTTGTACAACATAATTATTTATAATTTCAGCTGTCATTGATTCTGGTGAATAAAATTGGAAAATCAAATAGTGTCCATCTTATTTGTTATGGTATTCTTGAAAACATTTTATAATAGTCACACTTGATGCATTGTAAGCTACTTTTTAGATTGATAATGAGGAGTATGGAGAGGCCCTGGCCCTGGCTCAGGCATATGGTCTGGACTGTGACCTGGTGTATCAGAGACAGTGGAGAAGAACTGATGTGTCTGTGGCCTCCATACAGGACTACCTGGTATGTGGATTTTTTTTACTAGTTTGATAATTTCTTCAAAGTGAAGTTAAAAAAATCCATTTCACAGATGTCTGTAGGTTATGACAATGAATGATGTATATGTTGTTAAGCTGGTAATTGTCTAGTTTTTCCAAATATTTTTTCTCAAAAGTTCTTATTTGATTTTTCATTGATATCACCTTGATTGGATTATTTATTGCACTAGAGCAAGATTAGCAAGAGAGCTTGGGTCTTGCATGAGTGTTTGGAACGTGTTCCTCAAGACATTGATGCCATGAAAGCATTGCTGGAATACGGACTGAGAGGAACAGATTTAGAGGCACTTTTGGCTATAGGAAAAGGCGAAGATGGTGGAAGGTTGGTTCTATTTGTAGTTAAAATTATCTTGCATGTGTCATTCTCTGTAGTTTTTATGATTCACTCAGAAGACTACAATCTCAATGTCACAAAAGGATTTTAATCAGATTTTTGTTTGGTTGGAACTCCTCAGTAGGATTTTTTGCAGGATTGGGAATATCTGCTTTTTTATTTTAGGTTCATTTTGTGTGATAGTGATCACATGTTACCACTGGAAGAAAGTTATGATGACATAGAAACAGAGGAAAGGGTCAAACAAGAGGCTCAGCGAAAACGAAGAGAAGAATTGCTGAAACAAGTAGATTTTACAACGTAAGTGTCCAGTATTTGTGTTTTACTATAGAATCTGAGTTAGTCTTGGCGTCTTTACTGCTAAGTTTGGATGTAACAGTGTTATTGTATGATCTCATAAGCTGAATATGTTTAATGGATTTTCTTGAGCAATCATATAGCTAATGGTAACATGAAATTCTAACCAAAAATAAGTACAGAAACACTTAACATATTAATTGTTTATTAGTTTAGAGTTACATGGTTTAAAAAGAGAAATGGAAATTTGAAGAAATAGAAAAAATGTACATATGCTACTTTATATTATATTTTTAGCTTGAACTTGGAACAGAAAGAGTTGTGTCGAGCTCGCCTGAAGCTGTTGCAGTATTTGTACCGCCTGAGTACATATGAAGAGATTCTTGGGGGCCCGCATCAAGCTGAGCAGCATTTTGATTACACCTTCTTCCAGAAATTCCGTAGTCAGAACATTGTTGAGATAGCGGCTGACTATGCTAGGGTAAGTTAAGTCATCTTAAAATTTTTACTTCAAATAATGAGAGATATTGTTTTACATCCAGTCTCCTTTGATAAAAAATCACATTAGAAACTGATATTAAACGTTTGACTTTTCCTTATTTTCTGTTCAAGAAGGGTCAACTTCATGAAGTGCAGGATGTTTGTCATTTTTTTTACAGGCTACTGATAAGGAATCTTTACATATCATCTTGACCTATCACGGAGTAGATACCCTGCCACATAGGTGAGCTATTGCCATGAATACATTATACTAAAGGTTGGACAAGGAATTCATTAAAAAAGATACCTCAATTATTATGAGAACAGAATCTGTGAAATTTATTAAAAGTTTTTTCTATTCAGCTCTAAATAGCAGCCAGAAGAAAGAGATGTCGATAAGACTTAGTCAAAAATTGCTTATTATTTGAGTTTGTTCAGGTGCAGTCTACATTTACATTTTTCATGATTTTAGGTTGGCAATTTTATCCAATTTCCCAGAGACATCATCACCTCATGACTATGCTGAGTTGTTGCCTGTGGTGAGGTAGGTAAGAGGTCATGGTAGGACATTGTGTTAAGGTGCTAGATTCCATGGTAAATTTCTTTTCAAGAGGCAGTGGCATGAATTAATTGAAGTATGGTTTACTGCTGAAATTAAATAGTCAAGTATTCAGAATCAAAGAATACAGACATTTTTGAAACAGAGCTGGCCCTGTTCTGCGTCTTACACTGCAGGATAGTTTGCCATATAACACATTTCAAGTGTTATTTACAGATAAGTAAAGGATGCCTATTTGTTTGAAGATGTCTTTATTTTGTTCAGCACACATTTTTGCCCGAGTTACTGTGACATAGGATGTAACAGAGGCCATTTTCTTATAATTCCCAGTAATGTCGAGGGAGAGCCAGAGGTGGAACAATGGCCACAGCATGAATGGAGGGATCAAGACTGGGTAGAGTCAGATGCTTGCAGGTATGGTGTTGAATTTTAAAGACACTGTATGTGGGGAGTTCTTGTGTGAAAAATGCAGTTCGTTAAAGACATTTTGTATGTATCCTCAAAGAAATGCTTGTACATACCAATTATCATTTTGTCAAGTTTTAAACAAGTTTGATTAAAATTTTTTCATGTAGTAGAAGTTGAGTTAATGGTTGCTCTTTATGATTTTTGATGTGATTTAATTTTTGCTTAGGAATTTAAAGTCTTTTTAGCTTCTTGGTTTTCTTACTTATAACTTTTGTTGTGTTATTGTCATATGCAAAGATCATCAGTAAGAGATAATAAGATACAGACTAATGTATTTGTGGTAAAATGTGTTCATATTAATTTGAAAAAGATTATGAGTTATTGTGAAATATTTTAATGAATGAATGAATTCAACTTAGACCCAACATAGACCCTGTGCTAGAAGACCCAGGAGCTTTTCTATATGAAGACAATCTGGACCTTGAAAGATTTAGGTAAGTTCAAAGTCAATTCAAGCCAAAAGTTGCTTAATGAGAACAAATATTTAGTGAGTCAGGAAAAAATATGATAATAGATAAATGTGAACTATATTATATTTGTTTCAAATGTTAATCAATAAAAATATATTATTTCAGGGGAGAACAACTGACCAAGGGTCAGGTGAGAGACTGGTATGCATATAGAGCTTGTGAGATTGAAAGGTGGTCAAGGTTGGTGGACAATGCCCTGGAGATGGTCAATCAGGCCATGGAGAGAAATGTGGAGGTAACCTGACAACTATATATAACAAATGTAGTTATAAGATGAGATACTTTCATATTTAATTTAATTTTATGTATTTTATAATTTTTAGCAGGGGTCATGCTACCATATTTGTAGACTGATGATAAATGTAAAAAAGACAGTTTACTTTTTTGCAGTTTATATGGGTTATGAATTGTCCTGACCATTTGGCACAAATTTGTTGTACTAACTTAAGATCAGTTTTGTATGAAGTAATGTTTGTTTTAGCACTGAAAAGATGTAACGGTTGTAAGTTAAAAATATTATAGTGTTTTGATCAAGTTCATATTCATAACAAAATAGATTTCTATTCATTTCAGGGTTTGGAAAATCTCCATGATGATCTCAAAAACTTAGAGCTGTTGGTTTATGATGCCCATGTGGATGACAGTGTGACATTTGACCAGTTCAAGAAGATGACTGACATTGAGAAACTGAGACTACTTATGTCTAAGGTAAGCTGATATTAGCGTATCAATATTATACATCACCACTTTTTATAGAAGACAAATGCAGAAGTTTTGCACCATATATATCCAGAAACTGCAATCATTGGTTATCTTTCATTTCAGTCCTCAGAAGAAATGTATGAAAAGAACCTAAAGAAATGGATGCTGCCGTTTTTGAAGAGATGTGATAGACAAAAACCAGGCTCAACAAGAGAGTTGTTGGAAGATTATCTTGTCACTATGGCGAAAGATGATCTCACTCTCTGCCAAAAAGTCTTCAGAAGTTCTATGGCTCATGTAAGTGATGCGAGGATCACTAAAACTCTTCCTCTTCATGAATTACTGTTAGACTTATTATAGTTACAAAGTCTTTGTATTTCTTGTAATGCATATCATAAAGATCCCCACCTCATACTGAAACAACATGTATCTTAAAGTTGAAGAATTGTGAAGAACAGTGAAAGTTTTCAGTATTATGCTTGATTTCAGAATATTCAGCCTTCATTTAGATAATTTTTTCACATGATCTGATTGCAATGAGAAATTGCAAGCTATGTTTTCCAGATTTTCAGTTTTTACAACTTTCACCCAAGTAATGATAAAAGGTTAGATAACATTTGTGATAGTATGAGAACTTGATTTATCTTGCAGCATGAGACCCCAATCATCTCAGAGGATGAAGAACTTCTGACAGTGGCACTGAAGTGTATCTACTCGTGTGAGAGGTGGGTGTACCTGTGATGTATGTTTTGGTATTGGGATGACATCAGCTATTTATGTTGCTACCCCCTTATTTGAGTGTGTGTTGAATTTTGATGACGCTTATGAGACTTATGAGAATGGAAACTTGGTCTGAGAGATGATAATCAAGGAAAAATGTAAGAAAACGCCCGTGGTGGCTGAGATAAAACAATTGTCATATTTAAAATGTGAAGCCTTGTTCTTTTCCTTTTCGTACAATGCAGGATTAATAAAATCTTACAATACTGTTGTATTACCATATTATTCTGTCCATTGTTTCAGCAAAATAATACATAGCACTTTTTTCTTGTTTAATAATCTATTGTATGTTTGGTAGAATAAATTGTGGTATTGATCTTTATTATTATTATTATTATTATTATTATTATTATTATTACACCTATTGTTCATGAGATTATAAACGTATATTCGTGTGTGAGAGAGAGAGAAAGTGTGTAAGAGAGAGAGAGAGTGTGCATTTACCATACTTAGGTATATGTACATTCCTGTACTGAAATTTTTCAATTTAGAATAAAAAAAATAATAAAATTATTCTGTCCATAGAAGTGACCAACGGTTGCTAGCAGTTGGAATCTTGGAATGTTTGCCAGCAAGGGGCTCTGGGTAAGTAGACAGATGATTATTTTGGTGGTCTTTAGGGGATATGGGATGATGATTTATTAGAGTATTTTCTTGTTGAAACAGTTTTTTAACTTTGGTTTATCAATTGTTTATAACATAACAGAGAGATTGACAATGTCTTCTATATCGTGTAATTTATGTTGTCGTTTATTACTATTATTATTTCAGTAAATTGTCAAGTAAAATGAACAAAATTCATGATGAAGTTGACATGATGGAGAGGGATCTAAGGTAAGAATTTTACTTTGTCTGATGTTTTGTGATAATGTTGTGAGTGAGCACTATTTATATTTGTGATTCCTGTGGCACCTGTACACTAGGTATCACATGTTACATGTGTGTTTCTTTAAATAGTTGTATCATTAGACAATAATACAAAGTGCGTGTATTGTTAATAGGATAGCAGTACTATGACATAATATGATAAGGTTTGTGCTCTGAGGCTTAGATTTCAGGGCCATGGTGTATTACACACATACTTAAAGGCAGACTAGATAGTTATTCCTGGCAAAACATAATTTTGGGTCTTACATATTAATTTTTTTGTCATAGTGAAACTTTTTAGGAACATTTTCATTCTGTTTTCAACACTGCCCTTTGATTTGCATTTCTAGTGCTGCAGAGATCTTGGAAAGAAATAACTTACCTAAAACCATGTCATACATCAAGTCCTCACAACAAGATGTAGAGGAAACCAAGAATCTTCTCACAAAACTCACCAGAATTGCAGGAAGAAAGTGAGTTAGTGACTTAAAGACAGTAAATACTTCCAATGTTGCTTTAAGGCCCCAAATCACCTTACAATTTTTATTTTAGTAGTCTTATTGAAACCGATAAAAATTATATGACATTTTGATGCCAGATGCAATTGGAAAAAAAAACAATACAACTTGAACATAAAAAGATGTCCCTGAAACAAACAGTTTGAAGATATAAAGAACAGCATTGAAAAATTCTTATCCTACATTTATTTAAATGAAGTTTTAAATTTAAATAACTTTCTTTTTCAATAGAACCCCTCGCTTAACAGAAATAGATTGGAAAAAACTTCTGCAGGATGTACTTGAACTGCAGTCCAGAGTGTATGGCTGTGTGAGCAGGGACACTTGTTATGAGGTGAACTTTGGTGGAGATTGTTGCAATTTGAAAAGATGAATCAAGTTTCCTGAAGTTTGAATTCTCTGGCATTCATTTTCTGTTCGACTTTATCATTTTAAGGAACAATGTAATATATCCCTCTTCAAAGAAAATTGTTTAAGTTTAGAAAAGAAATTTGGAATGAATAATTTATTTATAATTATTTCAAAAACACAAACATTCATTTAAGTTCAAGCGCAGAATTTAGTACAGATGTTTTAACAGAAAATTATGTCTCCTCAGTCACACAGTTTTTACTTTAACTAATTGCGGTCAATCATTTCAGATATTCGTCGAGAGTCTGCTGTGTTCCAGTCACCAAGGCAACATCCACCTGGCAGGCCAGTACCTGGAGAAGAGTGCCGATGAACATGCCTCCCCCAGGCCCAGTGCTCCACAGACCATGTCCCAGTACAAGCTCCCATACAAAACTGCCATAGAGCTGGTGCTGCAGGCTGCCAGGGAGTACTTTGACTCCTCAGCTAGTTTGAGAGATGAATGCATGGATCTGGCCAGGTTGGTTTACAGTGACATGGTTGAACTTAGATTTGGTTCCAGTCGGTTTTGAATTGAAGCTGGTCTGGTCTAAAATGCCTTGTTATATTATCAAATTATGAAGTAAGGGTTTGTCATTGGGGTCTTTTTGACTTCAACTTTCCTGGTCAGGAAGATATATGTAAATATGTAATAATGCAGTAGGTAAAAAAAGTCGAATGTAGTCAGGTGTGAGAGATTTTGACTTTTGACTGACTCAAATTAAAATGATTTCTTGACATTCTTTATCCATGCTCATCCTGTGCATTCTGGTAGTACCCAAGGTTTCCATTTTGTATCCTACTAACTTAAACTTTAATCCAGAATTATTGTGAAAGAAATGTTTTACTTTCTAATGTTTTTTAGATCTTGCCTAAGCCTAATAGGGGACAGACCACCCAGCATTCAGGAGGATTTAGACCTAATTGCTGCCATCGATCTATTGAATGATCTGGAAGTTGCTGCTTTACCTTTACAAGGTAAAACTATCTAAGCACAACACATTATACCTAATGCAAGTTATGGTTCAGTCAGGTTATTTTTATTTATAAGCAAATTGATAATTTTTTATTTGATATGGAAGATTAGTTTTATTTTTGTTAAGAGGATTTTCTGCTTTAGCTTAATGGTACTGGTAATATATTGACATAGTTTCTTTCATTAACAGTGCGACTATGTAAAGAGAGACTTGAGTTTGTAGAGAAAGCAATTCAAAAGAAACCAACAACTTACAAGAATTATAACAAGGTGAGTTAAAAATTCTAAAACATCTTGCAATGAATGTCATGTCATAAACACAAGGATGTCATAAAGGCTGGTCAATTTTAGTATATGTAAAAATTCAAAATTTTGTAAATTCTTAGTTTAAGGGAGGAATCTCAAGTCCCATGGGGTGAAAATTGGGGTGGAGGGAGGCAGACTTGGCATGGAATGCTTGCAATCATGCCACCATGTCACTGTCACACATACCAATGTGATCAATACCAGTCAATCACTATCAGGTTTGATCAGCAGACTTACTCTTTTTTTTTTTTTTTGAAATTTGAAAAAAATAATGACTTCTGTGTGGATGCCATGGAGTCAAAAGGTGTTTTCTTCTATGAAAAAAATGTGTTGAAGGTTGATGTTGATATGGACATATTTGTGTTGTAGTTACTGAAGCTGGGATCATTGTTGAGGGTATCTGGGAGAGACAAGGCAGAAAAAGAGGGCCGAGTGTTGAGACTGGTGACACAGGCTGCTCTCAGGGTAAGGGATATCTGCATGGTTATAACTACTTCTTTCAATTTATTTTGTAAATCCGAGTGTTTCTTTTTATAATAATACATTATGTAAGGAAAATATTGTAAAATTGTTTCTGGAAAACAAGCAGGTAAATGACATGGAAGAATGGACTAGGAAATTATTGGCAACAATTACAGTAGAAATGGGGATAAGATTTACCAATCATGTGATGTTTCACTATTTGGAGATAAAAGACATTAGGCAGAGGTGAAGAGTACCAAAAAAGAAACTTTATCCTAAGGTTTGATGTAGAACAGAGTGAAGGCAATGAATGCCAATGTATTTGATAGCTGACAAACAACTCATTCACTTATTGTTTTTTCAGGACAAGGACTTCAAGCTAGCCCATCAGTTATGCCGTAGAATGATGGAGAGTGGGTATGCTGCCATATGGACTGAGTGTAAAGCTTTGGCTGAGGCTGAAGAATTTCAGGATATTAGTGCAAAGTAAGGTCACAGTTGAAAGTGTGTGTGGATGTATTTGTGAAAATGGCAACATTTTGGAAATATATTTTGGAATCTGAAAGTAATCTGAAGTGTTAATTTTACCAGGACCTAAGGTACCTCTGGCTAGGATATTGCATTCTATTATATTTCTGTTATTTCATACATGGTGAAGTAAGAATTCTGTCAAGTGGTTGGTGAAAAATAATACTTTCTAAATTTCAGAGCTGAGTTGCTGTCCTTTGCAGTAACTCACTGTTCAGCAGATATGATAGAGCCTATCCTCAGAGCCAAGTGTCTGCTAGAAACCAAGGTATGTGTCCATTCCTAAAATCATTGCTTGGACATCATTTCATTTTATTCATATCTAAATGCTGGTTAATATGAACATAAAAAATTTTGAAAAAAAAAATGAATTTGGCTTATTGGGAAACTGTGCACTTTCTTCTGACCATAAAATGTGTTTCATACCTGGATGTTTTATCCGCAGATTTTATATGACACCATTCAAACCCAAACGCACCAAGAAACAGATTCCAACAAGGGTACCAAGGCCACAAATCGCAGTCCGTTTTCGGCCAGAGGGGCCTTGCAACAAACTAAAGAGATCCTGACCTCCACTAGTAAAACCACCAAGAGCCTCCTGACCACTTTCAGTGACAAGCAATGGTGGAAAAGTACCCTGAAGAACCTTGACCCTCAGGGTGGGCCGAGCAGGGAGATGGCACAGGAAGTCAGGAATGCCAGGATGGAAAAGCAAGGCTATCATCCATTCTATGAAGATTGCATTGAGAATGGGCATTGTGATGTGGTAAGTTGGTGTCACTTTACATGATGTATTCTTAGGAATATTTTCTAATTTGTGAGTGAACAGTTAATTTTTCTATGACAATGGATTTTAAGTTGCAGATATTGTTGCAAGAATAAAGCTGCTGTTCGATTTATGATGTAAGTGTTGTACACTTTGATTTGTTGTCCCCGTCAATCAGCTGACAGATATTTTGAAATCACATCATAGAAAAAGATGTTTAAATCTTTCAGAATGCCTTCAACTATAAGCAGTTTAGCATGCCAAAGGATAACAATCCAACAACGGAACTGAGTGAGATATTACTGAGGACTGCCAAGCTGGAGGAGACTTTGACAGAAGGAGCTGTTGTTAAATCTTCAAGAGAAGGTAGAGACAAAATCAATAGGAATAAAGTATATGTAGGACCCTAGCATTTGGACACATAAATACCTTCTTTTTTTTTTGTAACAAGCTTGATTGTTCACTGTGAAGATTCTGGTATTTGAAGTACCTCTGTTCATACTGGGTGATCCATGTTGTATTCTGCTTCCAGTATTGTTAAAACTTGCCAAGGATGCCATGTCAGAAGATGCAGCATTAGGCTTAGCCTATTTATTTGCTTTGTCAGAGGTAAGTAACTATGGTTTGGATAAAGGAGATTGCCCTTTATGTTATCTATTTTTTTTTGAATATAGACATTACTCCACTTTGTCAAAGGAACCTTCAAATTTTTTTTAGATATTTTACTGAGATACAGACCAGGTTTTTTAACTGGAACTGAGAATTCTGTAACTGCTTTATCAACAGCAGTTAAAGGTACTCTAACAACTCTACTTTTCGGGTTTTTTTTCACAAACATTGTTTCTCAATTTTCAGATCACTGACGCTGACAAGTGTTTCACCAGCCTTCCCCAAACAGCCATATCTCTTCAACTGGCCACATACTACTACGCCTTACAGACATATGCCAAGGTCCAGCAGACACAGGGGGACATTGCTGACCAGAGTCCAGTTTACCACCAGCTGCCCAGTGAGGTGGTCAGTAACGCGGTCAATTTTTTCAATACATACCAGGGATCTGAGCCTCTTAAAGCTGAGGTGCATGAGCTGGGAAAGAAGTTGAAGAGTTACAATGAGCTGCTGGAGGATTATGTACAAGCTCAGACTCTGAAAGAACTTGGTAGAGGTAAGTTTTGAATGTCTTCTGTATTTCAAAATGTAACATTTTCATTCTTTGTACCGTAATATTTTTTCCTTCTATATTGCAATTGTAGTTTGTGTTGGCAATGCTGTCTGTTTTACATTTTGAGAGCATAAGCAAAAGTGTTTAAATTATTTTAACAGTCTAAAATATATTCCTGCATTTACCAAGTGGCCTGAATGTCTTGATGGGTGAAAACATAATACTTAATTGACCATAATTTTCAGGGGTGGATGTAACTCGCTTTACAAAAGATAATGAGTACAAACAAGAGACAATCTTAGGACTTGCTATGTAAGTATTAAGATATTTATTTTAAAAAAGCATTTAAACATCCTCTTTGTTTTGAGCTGTTTGCAAAAAAATATGCCAAAGAATGTTAGATGTTGTGAACTTTTGAAACTGATCACAAAGAGGAATAAGTTTACTAAGGGAACATCATCTTATGGGCATCTAAAGAAAAAACATAGGCAGAGTGTTCTTTATGGAGTTAACATATAATTGGCCTATAGTTGTATTTATTTGCAAAGTGTTATTAAATGACAAAAGCATTATTCCATAATACACGTCCCACAAACTTACAGTGTGTGAAATATTTCAGGTCCCTTGAGCACAATGTGTACCAGCTGGCAGTATCTCTGGCACAGAAGTATGACATTCCATTATGGGAGGTGTACATGACACACTTGGAATTTCTTTTTACTGATAGTGGGTGAGTTTATATTAATATTATTGTTATTACCAGAAAATAGATATTTTGTTTGGACTTTTGCTTGAAATTTTTTGGATGATTTTTTCAAAATGAAGACCCAAAAAGCATAAAGCAACTTTTGAATTTTTGGGGGAAATTTTTTAGCATTTTGTATGTGGCTGTAAATTTACTAGCTTTGTCTTTGTTGTATATACTGTAATACATTAGGAAACTATGTATATACATAATGTTATTTTTTTTCAGCCTAAGCACACATGACCTAGAACATGAAGTGCAGACAAAAAGCATTCTTGCTGTTCTTGTGTCCAAACCTGTAGAGTTTCTTGAGAGAATGCAGACATATGTGTACCCTAGTATCAGGGGTTCAGATCATGCCAGGTTGCTGTGTTATTACACTATGCTATCAGGGTGTAGTGGAGAGGAGGCCATGACACCTGAAGTACATGTGAAGCTGTTGAAAAAGATCAAGCCTGCCGCTCCAGGTAAACAACTACAGCATTTGGTTTATTTGCTTTCTATATCACATCAGTTCTACTTTTCCAACAATTTAACATTTTTTAAAGATATTGACTCATCTCACTTTAATAATGGTGCTTCTGGTATAATGTAAAAAAAAAAAAAGTCAATACTTGAGGTCTTTAATGAAATCAGTATATGGAAGTTTTTGATAGATTTACATTTTTTTGTGGGAAAGGAGTAGTTCACTATTTTAATTCCAGGTCTTGATTACAAAAAGTTAATGGATGGCAACCAGAAGCCCTTGGAGATCATCAAACCCATTCTGACCAGTAGCAATGTCCATGTCATTGCTAAACTGGCTGCAAAGATCCCTAACCAGGTAATGCATTTGTATTTATTATGATTAATTACTTTGCTCTTCAGGTCTATGGACCAGTTGAGTGGAATGATCTCCCTACTTATTTAAAAACAATAGAGTCCGAGAACAATTTTAAAAAAGAATTAAAAACTTACATCTTCAAAAAGTTTTATAATTGATTTGACTGGCTGTTATCTTTTACACTGTACTGTTTATTTTCAATATCTTATCAATTTAATTATATTTTAGTTCACGTCTTTAGTTCATGTCTTATTATTTAAACTACCTTTTCATTTATTTTAGTCATCTTATTCTGTTCATTTTACCCATGTAAAGTCTACTGAACATTTTATATGGATTTTAGACTATAAATAAATATTATTATATTATTATTGTTATTAAAGATTTATTTTACTTCTAAATAGGTTCATTACTTTGCCATGTGTGTTGTAATATGAAGAGTTATTTAAACACAAGCAAATAACTTTTAGATATTCAGTGCCTTTGTGGAGAGAATTCCCAATAATGTAAGCAAAATTTTATTGAATACAGAATTTTTGAAGTTGTTTTTTTCCTTCTGTCCTAAGGCTGGTGGTTACCTGCAGCCCAGTGTTGTATTTTGTGCCTGGGCCATCAAGCTGTTTTGGGAGGGTGACCAGAATACCAAGAAACTGCCTGAGAGTAAGGTAAAGAAAAAAATATATTTTGAAAATAAAGACAATACAAAAAATGTCAATGTTCAAATGGTCATATTCTGCTTTTATGTAATAGAAGTTATATGAAAAAAAAAATTTGCTTTCAAGGCAGGTTATATATGTCTATAATCATGGTAATATGCTCTTTTACAATCTCACAGCTTTGACATCTGTTTTGCAGGCTGAGTGGCTTCACAGGTATGAGTCTTGCAGCCAGTATCTTGAAAAGATGTCACCAGAAGATGCCATAGAGTTCATCTGTGGTATTACATTTGTGGAAACTGCTGTGGAACAAGTAAGTCAACATTTTAATTATTATTGAATAGAAACTGTTTTGCTTAAATATCAATATTCAATCAAGGAAACTACAGATCGCTGTGGTTAAAATGTTTGGTTTGTAAACTGCCATGCAGATTTTGACTCCTAATAGAACTTTAACTTCATTTTGAAAGTTACATGACAGTAATTTATGGGCATGAATGAATTGTTTTATTGTAACTTTTAAGTAAAATATGTCATGTTGGAGTTAATGTTGATGTGTTAAGTTCACAATTCAGAAATGCTGATTCACATTTTGATGTTTTTTATCTTCAGCTATCATTTGAATGCAGGCAAGAAATTGTGAGGAGGGGATTAAAATTTTGCCGACAGGAAGGAGGGAAGAAGAAAAAGATGGATGATTCTGGGTAATAACATTAGTTTTTAATGAAAAACATAATAGAGCAGAAACATTTTGATGAAGGGTATCTTTTAATTTATTAAGTTATTCATATAATTATTTTTTACTTATTATTTAGTAATTCATCATTTATATGAATGCATATTTTTTACTTAAGGTGTGAAATTACATGGACAAATGCCATTGATAGCATGCAGGTGTTATTAAACCACTTGGACCTG